AGCTTTGCGGAGTTCCCCCTCGAGGAAGTTCACGTCAGGTGCGTTTTTTTTTTTTTTTTATTCTCCCCCAACTCCAAAGCTATGCCGACACCTGCCCGCGGAAACACTGAAAGCTTGTCATGCTGGACGACGTCGAGGATGACGTCGCTCGTTGGCTATCAGTCACGCCGTTACCTCGGCAACCATCCGTGCGTCATCTCCGATAACGCCATCGCTCCATAGCAACAATCAATATTAATTATAGCAAAGCCTTTTATATGTTCACACAACACACACACCCACGCACGTACACACACACACACATACACACACACAGTTTATAGGTGGGTGTGAATGCATCACACTACAATCAACAGTTGAAAATGAACCCTGCTACATTTTTTTTTGTGATGGTTTTTTAGGAGTTATCATCACAGAAGAAAAAAAAAATCCCAATTTTGAGCCGTTCGCCATCACTGCAGTACCACGATTCGCCACAACATGGCCAGCAGCACTGAGCGTGAGATATAACGTCATTAAAATGTTATACAATGCTCACTTCTTTTTTTTTTTGGTCATATGCTGTTTATATGTTTTGCTGCGCCGTGTGTGTAAAGAAGCGATCGTTTGAAGATTTAGAATTACAGTCACAGCTACGCTAATTTAGCCATTCAATGGCGTTTCACAATATATGTTAGCGTTAAGCTAGTGGCCGTTTCTTAGTTTTTGTTGTCTGCTCTGAATGTGTTACTGCTCCGTGCGTGTGTGAAGTAGCCATTTGTGTGACGGTTTTGGAGTTATCGTTCCAACTGCGCTCATTTCTGTTAGCCCCTCTATAGTATTTCTCATTACGTTAGCGTTAAGCTAGTGATATAATAGGGTTTGGTTGAACGGTTTGATATTTAAATCGACAATGTTGAACTGTTTTTGTTCACGAATCAACCACTTGAAGCTAGCACGTTTTGCAGCTTCATTGGAGAAGCGTGAGCGTGAGTCTTTTCACTTCCTCCAAGTGATGTTATGTGACAGGCTTCTATTACTAGACAGTAACTGGAACATATCCCCCCCCCCCCTTTCCCCTGCGATGAATGGGAGTTCACTGCGATTGGTTTAATAGTGCCTCCTATTGAGCATTTTATTAAATAGTGACCACAAATGAGCTTCTTTGGGTTAAATATGTGTAAGATAATAGATGTTTATGGGTAACAAACAGTAAACTGTGGTTTCCTGCTCATCTGCATATCGCAGTTAAACTTTTATGACGCCACTCAGCTCATGCATACAGACACACAAGAGGGGGGGGTGCGGGGGGGAGTGAGGGGGAAGCCACAAATGTGAATGATTCCAGTTTAAGTCAACAACACAGCCACAATGGAAACAGAGAGGGTCGGATCAATAGGTGACGCCGGGGAAACTAATTTGCGGCGGGTTTTTTTTTAACGCCGCTACTCAACATAATGTGATGAACGGCGCGATTAGAGGAGCGCAATGAATAAATGCACGGCGTTTCAGAAGCGAGCCCAAGTGGCCCCGTTGCAGGAAGCTGTCAGCTCGGCCGGTTCGATTATGCGCGTGGACTCGCTTAACCCGTTGCAAGCCGCGCATGGGACTACATCCCAAAAGTATTGGGACAGCTACAGGAAGTAGCCAATCGCAGGGCACACAAGGACGAACAACGTTTCGCGCTCACCTTCATACCTAGAGACGATTTAGAGTGTTCCATTAACTTGCCGTGCATGTTTTTGGAAAGTGGGAGGAAAACGGAGTACCCGGAGAAAACCCGCGCAGGCACGGGGGGAACATGCAAAGTCCACACAGGAAGCGCCTGAGCCGGAATCAAACCCTGCATCCCTGCACTGTGAGCCCGACGTGCAAACCAGTCGCACCACCGTGCCGCCAGCCTCTCCGCTTGTTCAAATCAAAATTTTCCACCATTCGAGCACAGTCAGCATTGCACACCTCTTTTGGAAACAATGAATATGACATTGTCCAAAATTTGACACAGCATCTGCATCTAAAATGAATACCATTTTCCCCAAAAGTGGATGAGTCATGGCCTAAAAATGGCAACAATAGAGCCAAAAGGTAACATTTGACGGAAATAGTGAAGAGCAGAAAAAACTCATTTTTGTCGCGGGCCACATTTTAGTTACCGTTTTCCTTGCAGGGCCGTTATGACTGAAACCATATAAAGAAATCCAGAATAAATGTTTATTCATCCATTGTTTAAGTGACTGAAATAAAGGGGTTGGTCACAAGAAAACGCTTCTAGTATTATAAATGAGAATTTCAAATTTTGGTAGCGATTTTAGCAAAGCATCATGAAAGTTGCCATCTTTGATTTCCTTTCGCGGGCCACATAGAATGATATGACGGGCCAGATCTGGCCCCCGGGCCTTGAGTTTGACAGCTGTGGTATAGAGTGACATAACTAAACAACTGAAGTTATTCATTAAAAAAAAAATCAAAGAAATAAATAAACACCGTTGGAAACATTCATTACCTTGGCATTAACGCAGCTAAAATGGTTCGGAAAAAAAAAATATATCACGCAGAGAGCCTCGAGGTTTAATCGAGTTAAAATGACCTCACCGCTGGCCACCAAATACACCAGCAGCCCTTTTTTCAAAGCAGAGTTACCCAACACTGGCAGCCAACGGTTGATGAATGCAAACCGTCCACGGCAGTGAAAGAAATAATTCCGACTCACAATGAAGGTGTGATGCGAAGCATACATATTGTCCTTGCATTTCTCCACACACACACACACACACACACACACACACACACACACACACACAAAAAGGTGGGGGTGGGGCACATATAGGCTATATCTTATTTCTCCTGACGGGCGCCGGGCTCGGCCCGGATAACAAGGAAGCGGTCCGGAGGGAGGAGAAGTGGTGGGGGAGCTTGTAATAGAAGCTATGACAACGTTTCGCTGACCAGAAATGATGACATTTCGGCCTGCCAAATGTGACTAATTGGCCCGTGTGGACCAGGGCAAGGGAGGCCAGGGGGCGGCCGGGGGGGGGGGGCGTGCCCCTTTGAGTCCAGTTAGTGGCTCCCAAAAGACAAAACAAAATCTCTTTTGCTCTTAAATTACGAGCAAGAAGAGGTGGCGAGTGTGTGAGGGTACGCGTTGCTGCGCCGTGTGTGTTAAAGTTGTTGGAAGGTTTGGAATGACTGCAACACACACACACACACACACACACACAATTTGTCTTATATGGTGTTTTGCACGATATGTGAGCCTTAAGCTTTCGTTAGATGAAATGAACACTTGCGTAACGTTGAGCTCTCGTTTGTGTGTGACGAATCCACTGCTTGAAGCAAGCACGCTCGGCTTCTTTTGGGTGTGTGTCAGTCTTCTTTTTTTATTTTGTCCAAGTGATGTCATATGTTAGTTTCTCATTTGTTGAGAGCGCAAGAGTGAGAGCAGGAATCACCAAGTGGGGGAACCACTGCTCTAAGACATCCAGCTAAAACAAAAAAACATGGCACCAAGCCAGTCTCTTAAATATAGCGGGAGAGTGTCGTGATCTATTCATGCATTCGCGCATCGTGAAGCAAAAAACAAAAAAAACGAAACTAAAAAGAAGACATATGATTTGCAACATCTGTTTGTTGAAAAAAAAAAAATCAGATTTCAGCACCAGGTTGCCGTTCAAGCTGATTAAACACTGCTAACACACGCACACACACTCAAAAGAAGAACGATTTCAGTCAAGGCTTACAGCAGCCATCACGAGATTTATTTACATTGTGTCGCTACTCGCTCTTTCATATTGACTTGATATTTAGGTCGCGGAGGAGCCGGAGACTATCGCGGAAGGTTTTTGGCGCAACCCGGATTGGTTGCCACAGTCAACAATTGCAGGACATCTCGCCATCGTCGACAAAAGTCATTCTCAAACCACAAAGTACCACCTAAAAAAAAAAAAATAAATTCCAGAGCGCTCCAAGTAAGCACCGTGATGACCCGCATTCAAATGCACAAAGCGAAGTCAGTCCGAGTGTTCATGGAAATCACATGACTGAAAGTGACCGTAACGCAGAGTTTAAACTTGAACACGTACCCTGAATTGAGAAAATTGTCCTAAAATGTTCAAGACGACTATTTGGGAATTGATTTTTGGCCAGTGAGCCCACCAGGGCCGTAGCTACTCTCTGACCAGCCCGCATCTGGGGGCAAAAAATTCCGGGAAACTTTCCTGCCATTTTGAAAAGAATCCGTCTTGGATTCTTACAGTCAATGTCAATCAAAATCACAAACTTTCTCACCATGATAAATGCCGTGTCACTTTGGCCACCCCGTTGAAAAAATGTTGGGCTATGCCCACTGGAGCCCAGACTTTGGAGAATCAATGGGTCCACCCTGGACTGGTTGCCAGGCAATCTCGATGTAATAACAACAACATTTGGAAGTTGGAACTCCTGCCGAGCCGAGAGTCCAACCCACATGTGCTCACCACTTTTGCACTGTCCAATATTCAGTTCATATCCCAAGACGAGACAAAAGTATTTTGGAGTGCCGGTCCACTGAGATGCAAAACCAAATTTACACCCAAAAATGATGGCCACCTTATGAAAATATTAAACTAACGCTATGAAGTGAGCATGATTATCTTTTACAATGTTTGTATCGGGTATCATCAGGTGTACCTAATGACGTGTCCACGAGCTGTGCCCGCGTGTGCTGATCCCGACGTTCACGCAGTCGCAGACGTCAATCATCCCTGTCAAGGCAATCTTCCAGTCACATTGACAAAATAAAAGCCGCCGCAGCTCGCCTTACAAAATAAAAGCCACAGGTGCGTTTGGTTGTGTTTGCGCCACCTCCTTTTATTTGTGCAAATATTAACAGTGGTAACCTGCATGGGGCGGCGGGAGGAGTGGGGAGGTCTCTTTTCATCCGTGTGGCCACGCAAAAGAAAAACACAGTCCGCTCAGCAGCAAATATTCCAAAAAGAGAAAAAAAAACCCACTACAAAACAAGACAAGAGAGAGAAAGCACAAACCTGCGAGCTCGGCTGCAAGAAAAGTCCCTGAACGTCCCCTAAAAAGCAAAAAAAAAAAAAAAAAGGGAACAAAAAGGACTGCTAAGAAATCCACTGCACACCCAAAGCAAAAGAGCCACAAAGAAATCAAAATAAAGACAGAAAAATACAAGAAAACAGGAAAGAAAAACACTCCCACCCTTCCCCCCCCAAAAAAAAAAAAAAAAAAGACCACAAGACACTAAAAACGTCTGCAGGCTGTCGAGCCTGGAAAGCAACGTGTGGCGAGGCAGCAGAACAAGTGCATGCTGGAAACTTGGAGGAGAAAAAAAAAAAAAAAAAAAAAAAACCCCCCCCGCCACTAGTATGCCAGCCAGCGCTTCATTCACACAACACCAGCGGCAGAAGGAAGAGAGAAGAAAAAAAAAAAAAAAAAAAAAAATGTACTCACCGAGCGTCGGGAGTAAAAGCTGGCTGTTGAAAAAGCAGCTGAAAAGCGAGTGGCTGGCTCCGCGATGGCGTGTGCGTGTGCTCTGCTGTCATGTGACCCCCGCTTGGCTTGCGTCGGGGAGCTGAAGCAGCTAGTCCTTATCGCGCCATATCTCAGCGCCGCTCCGCCCGCCCGCCTGGATGCGTGTTACTGCGCGCTACGGATGACGCCGACGACGTCCTCGCCCTCTCTCGCTTTCATCCGCGCCAGGCATCGCTCCATCCGCCGGATGCGCTTTTCTCCCGTGCGCTCTCGGGGGACCTGATTGGACAGGAGGCGAGGAAAGGGGGGAGGGGGGAGGTGAGGGGTGAGAAGGAGAAGAGGGTGTTACAATTGAGGGAGTGGGGGGCAGCAGGGGGGTGGAAAGATGAGGTACCAGCGTGCAGACGTTTGCACACCACCGAAGGGGTTGGAGCTGTCCCTGGTCCTGACGCTGATACGACTCAATGTGCAGCGGAAGAAATACGTCAAGTGGTTGTTATGCGGGAATCGGAAAAGGAAAAACGGGACTTGTTCTTTGGGTGAGCGGTTGCAAGTCTTAACGCAACAAAAACAGAAAGAAAAAGGAATAAATCAAACAGGGGCTGGGACGGATTAAGGGCATTGCGTTGGGGAAAATGAAGTTGCTTTGGTGAAGTAAATTGAGTGGCGAGTCTGCGTCGTGTTTATTATTTCCGTTTTCAACTGGGTATTGAAAAAAAAGAATTGTGGAGACTTCCAGAGCAGTAGAAGTCCCTCGAGTAAATGATCGTTAATCACACATGGAGCGCCACAGGGCATGTTGCTCGGTCCTCATTTGTTTGCCTCATTCTCCATTCGGGCTCGGCGTTGTTAAAAAACGAACAATTCAAATGAGTTTCGATTCTTTCGGGTGCAATTGGATTTGATTTAAATGTGCCGATATCGATTCAGGCAGGGAGTAAAAATACACCAATTGGGGTAAATTTTGCAATGGAACATCTGGAAATGAAAATTTGCGATGAACTCAGTTGTGACCTTGAAAGTCGCGGATTGCACTGAAAACGTGAAGAGTAAAGCACACAAACTTGGAAAATGTCATAAAAACTTCTTTGCATACATGGCGTACATTCTTTAAAAAAAAATGTAAAAAGTAACTGAATATCAATTTACTCGCAATGAAGTGAAAAGTGATCACTCTTTTTACGAGTATGAAACGTTTTTTTTAATTTCATTTCCTTCAAGGGATGAATAAATTGTCATCTATCCATTCAAGTCTCCTCTCCCCTCATCATTTTAATTATGATTACATTTTGTTTAATGACACGCTGCATCGCCATTATCTCCCTCCGAGGGTCCCGGCCAACGGAGAGGCGGCGTCACAATCCAAGATGGAGTTGTGATGACGGGTAAAGGGCGAACCCCGACGCGTCAGGGGGCTCCCGTGTGCGACAAGTGCAGTCAGAGGCCGGGGGGGCATCAATAACACATGATTACCTCCTTTAGCGCTCCCCGCATGCTATCTCACAAATGCGACACCATGCACATCCCAGGTGAGTTTGTTTCATAAATGAGTCAGACGATTGCATGGAACCGCTGAGCCGTCGCAAATTCAAAATGCCATTAGAAAGCCGTGACACGAGGACAATTTTTCACGAGAGTAAAAACACGATGGATGAATGCATGTAAAGTTGAACTACTGTTGTATTGGATTGGTGGCTAAAAGTGGAGTACCCGAGCGTAGGGAAGGAGAGAGCGAGGCATGACTGTGGAATTTGTTCCCCAAAAAAACGGCAAAACACAAAGGTGCTACAGCAAAAAAAAATAAATACTGACGTAAAGGTCCAAACATCGTAAAAAAAAAAAAAAAAGACGACGAAGATATATCCCAGCGGGTAATGACAGGGTTTTTCCACATCGTGACAATGAGGCACTCTAAACCGATCACGCCAATCAGAAACTCCCGATCCACACGCTGGCTGTCAAGCAAGACTTTAAACAAAAAGAATAATATTCCGCCATTCTCTGTGTGTTGTGCAGTCACTCACTGCCAACAATGAGGCACTCTAAAGTGGCCACGCCAGCAGAATACGAAAACCATTTTTTGGGAGTGCAGGCATAGCTCTGTGTTAAACTGAACATTGCAATTGCTCATGTTCTTATTTAGTAGGGAAAGTGGAAGGAATGATGGAGTCCAAAGGAGCCCCCCCCCCCCCAAAAAAGTCAAAAAGTCGCAATTGTGACCGCGTGGTGAATCAAACTTTAAGCTGTTTGTCAGCCATCTTTTTATTTTGCTGTTTTCCAGCCACAATGAAACAGTCAATGATTTATTCCCGCCACTTTTTTGCTGAAATATAATTATTGAGCGCTAATGTCGTCCCGGGCGGCGGCCAAACAACAACAACAAAAAAAGTCAGAATGAAGGCAAAGTGATTCTTGAAGCAAACTCTGCTTCACACGTGTGGCATCTAATTCAGAGCAGCCTCGTTTATTATTAATTATGACGTACAGGCGGGCTTAATGAGCGCGCAGCGACACACACATGCACGGGCACGCACACAAACGCGCACCTAATCAACAGACAGCCCAAACGACGAAAATCAAAAAGACAAATATAGAACCTCGAAAGAAAAAGTTTTCAACATTTTTTTTCCCGATTAATCAGTGATTGGTTTAATCACAAAAACGTTTGCCGATGATGAGACGGCGCTAATGAGCCGAGCTAAGGCATAAAAGAGACAAGACGTTAGTTGCGTTTGCTCACCGGGGGGGATTTGCAAGCTTATATGCTTTATGATGCCAATATCAAATCAGCTGATTACTTGGCCGGATTCCCGCACCCAAGGAAATTATGTAGCTATCAGTAGAAATGATCAAATGAACCTCCCTCCTTTTGATCCCGTCGAGCTCATCTCAGCGATTAGTTTGAGCAAAGTCGAGTGTTTGTACAATTGTACAAATTGTCGCCAAACCAACTTAAATTTGTTTGTTACATGTCATGTACAGTCAAAACATATGCTTGTATGTGACTGACTATTTTGTTTATCGGGAATTTCCAAAGGTTTTCCTAACGCGAGTAAAAGAAGGCAAAAAAAAAAAATTACCGTATTTTCCGCAGTATAAGGCACTAAAAGCATTCAATTTTCTCAAAAGCCGACAGTGAGCCTTATAATCCAACGTGCCTTATATACGGATTAATATTCTGACTTCTTGGGTGTAGTATTTTAAATGCTCTGTAAAGCGCTTTGTTGCGGCTGCAGCGGTTTTGAAGGCTCGATATCAATAAATCTGTTTTGTATTGTATTCCCTTTAGCGTAGCTCCACCTAGTGGAGGCATAATGCAACGGCAGCCACGATTGTACCTTCTATTCTATGCGCCTTATAATGCGGTGCACCCGATCTATGAAAACAGTTTTAAAATAGGCCGTTCGTTGAAGGTGCGCCTTATACTTCGAAGCGCCTTATAGTGCGGAAAATACAGTAGTCTGGAGCCCTGCGCTGCCTTGCCTACAGATATGATGCATGAAAATATTATGAAGACAGTGTCACGTGACCATCTAGTACAGGGTTGTCAAACAATTTTTTTTTTTGTGGGCCAGATTTTAGTGACTGTTTCCCTTGGAGGGCCGGTGTCACTGAAACCATATGTCAATCATAACGGTTTCTTCAACTATTGTTTGAGTTGCTGTAAGGAGATTTTTGGTAACAAGAAAAATGCTTACAATGTGTCTCTTATTTATTACATTACATATGAGACTTGAAAATTTTGCTCGAGATTTTAGCAAGCATCATGGAAGTTGACGTGTTTGATTTGCTTTCGCGGGCCACATAAAGTGATGTGACGGGCCAGATCTGGCCCCCGGGCCTTGAGTTTGACACCTATGATCTAGTAGGTGTAAAAAAAAAAATAAAATGACACTGACGTTTTCAAAGCCCACGGAATTTTTTTTGTGCTAAATTTCAACCCTCCCATCGTACCGTTGCGAGGAGCAAAAATCATTCGCACAGTAGGCGACTCTACAATATGCAAATAGCCAACAACGTACCATTATTGTGCACACAGTAAGCGCCACGAACGGCAAGTGGGCTAAATGACGCAACCATTCAGAGTGTAATTTTTATGGAGCCTTGTTCAATACCGAGGTCTTTTTTTTTTTTAACTGCATATTAATCACGGTATTTGAGCATGTTTTTTCAATTTCCATATCTTATATTTTGGGGTGAGGCAGGGTGACTCGCATGCGTCGAGCTTCGGTCAGGCCATCAAGTGGCGTTGCGACGTGCTTCCGCCTCCAACAATGTTATGATGATGTGTTTTTTTTTTTTTTTCCCCTCGTTTAAGATATCCTAATTAGTCGCGTTGGCAATGAACGGCGGCGAAGACGTGAACAACATCTGACCTTGACAGAACAAGTGAGACTCAAATATGCACATCGTTAGAGAAAGAGAGAGAGAGACACTCGCTGTGCGCTTCATTAGTCAAGGTGCACTCGACAACGAAAACTAAGGCATACATATTTTCCAATTATTCTTTCAGCTGACCATTTGAACTTTAATTTCCCATTTCAAATCGACAAATGATGTTTGCCCAATCCCATCATTTCAGTTATTTATTTTTTTTGTCTGAGTGTAAGGTCACATTTTTGTTGTTTTTTTATTTTAAGTTTTTTATGACCATGACTCCCGCAGAACTTCACGACATCACACCGGATGCTGTTCCAATTACTTTGGCTGCCTTCATTTGCGACGTGCGCCCATATTTAGCATGCCTGAAAGACGTGTAGGCGTAAGCACATTTCCATACTTTCTATATGCATTAAGATTACCAAAAGAGGACTCTCATTTAATGTTAATCTCTTGAATTAAAAAAACAAAAAAAATGTGTTCAAAGATTTTCTGTTAAATTTGGACATTGATTGGCTGCGGCTGCCAGGACGCACCGCAACCGGCTGCAACATCATATGGAAACGGATCTTCTTTTTCAAATCATTCTTTTTTTTTCAGAGAAAAAAAACTTTTCCCAAGGACAAAGATGAAACAATTAGCATGAGCTAGTCAAGCCAACGGGGAGATGCACAATGAATTAATCTTTTGCCGCCTGGTGACACGTTGTCCCTTTATTAGTTTGCCATTAAGGACATCTCGCTATCAATCACGACGATGCTTCATTATCTCACCGCCCTCTGCCGTGACTCATTGTTTGGGATAAATGAAGGTCGCCCGGGGTACAAGAGAGGAATGACACGCCACCAATTTCTTGCCAGTCTATGATAGAGAAAAAAAAATATATTTTTTAAAGTAGTAGAGTAGTAAT